TGGTGTTAATCTTTTAAGCCACTGTAAAAGATTATGTTTAAAACAACCGTTGTTACCTCCAATGTAATTATACATTGAAGAACGTTATTTTTTACTCTGACGGTAAAACAACACATCTACACATCTTTAATAAGGCCATTCCAAATTTTTTCTATGTTTAGCGTCCACCCATCTTTCAAAAACAACTCCAAAAAACACACAAACCTAAAAAAAAAAAAAAAAGGAAAACAGACTTCAAAGTAATAAAAATAACGTCAATCGAATGATTTGATTTCAAAAAATCATATTTTTCTCCTTTCTAGATCTATACTTTAACAAAATCAAGTACTAAATGCTTAAAATATACCACATATGAAAAAAATATGTAGATCATTACAGGAAATGATATAATTCAAAGATTTAGACCAGAATAATCAATTTCAGGTCTCCTGATTTTGTTTGTTTTTTTCATATATTTTATTAAAAAACCAAGGCACACGCGGACGCTAAACATAGAAAAAACTTGGAATGGCCTAACGAAGAAATATATTTTAGAAGGAAGAATTACTTTCCCCAATTAGCTGAATTACTATTTTATTTATTTCTTACTTGATTTTTTTCTACAAAGATAATATGACACGAATTTGTAGTTCTATACTGCTAAATAGTAGACGTTTTGTGCTTTACATAGTTCATCTTTCGTATTGTATGAAAAGCAATAATTAGCTTTAATAGCGGATATAAGAATGTTAAGTTTCCTCTAAAATCCATCGGTGTGGTGTTGAAGCAGTGGTAGTTTTCTCAGTTTCTTTTCTTTCTCTTTCTATCAATTGTCCATAGTTTCTTTGTTTCACTTTGACATACTGTTTACTTTTCATGACTTTCAATTTCAATCTTGAACTAGTACTCGAGTTTCTTTCCAATCCATAAGAATGTGATCTAGTTTTTAAATTGGCATTGCCTGTTCTTTTTTGAATATCAGTCAAATATTGATATTGCCTTTTTGAATCACTTCTGACTTTCAAGAGCGGATGAAACTTTTGGTAATTGTTTAGTTCTCCTCTGTCATCTTCATTCATATGATAATAATTTAATCTTTGTAGAAATTGATTTTTATCCGCAAAAGGCAGTATTCTTCTTTTTGGATTTGTTCCTGGATACATTTTCTGTTTATGAATTGCAGAAGATAATTTGTATTGAGTCCTTAAACCGTATCTACTTTTGACATAGGTTTGTTTATTTTGGTAAGTCTGTTTTAATCCGGTCTTACCTTCATCACTGCGATGAGAATAAAAATCATTGCCAACTCGGTAGTATTTGTTTTGTTGCAATCTCTTCTTTTTCGGAAATGTGGAAGATGATGGCACTTCCTTATATAAGGTGTAGTGTCGTTTTGAAGTGTTTCTGGTTTTGGAAAATGATTGATATTTAGGATATTTATCAATAAATCTATTTTTGTAAAGACCATACTTATTTCTGTATTGCAATCTATTCTTAGTAACATATCCTCGCCTGTAATTTCGTGTTCGACTAGAGTAATGTCTGAGAATGAAGTGCCGCTTATAGATATATTTTCTTCTTTTAAACGCACGGTTTCTTTTAATTTTATTTCTTCCATGTTTCCATCGATGACTTAAACTGAGGTTATGTCGTTTTCTATGAGCTGATATGATGCCCATTTTCCCTTGCATTCTGCTCATATTTCTTTGATTAAACGACATTTTTCCGTGGAAAAGGGGAGCCCTACGCCAATTTCGTTTATATCTTCGCTCTCCCTCAGAAAATCTTCTATTTCTTTGTCTTCGTCTTTGATCATATCTTGACCTTTTCCTTAAAATTTTTCTTCGATTAAAATTTAGATATTTATTTCTGAATTTTCTAAACCTTTTCCTATGTTTACCTCCCTGCCTTACATATTCTTTCTGTCTTCTGTGATGCTTTCTATATCTTTTAAATCTACTTATACGTTTGACATACCTCCTTTGAAATCTTTTCCTAAATCTACCTATTCGTCTGTCATACCTCTGTAGTCTGTTACTATATTTCCTTAATCTACCTCTAATTCTCCTAGATCTACGGGCTCTAATAAATGCTTTTTGCCTAGCGTTATGTTTTCTAAAACTTTTTGCTATTTGTCTGAGATTTCTGTGTTTTCTTCTTCTGTAAATGCTTTTTCTGAATCTTTTTCTTAATATACGACGACGTTTGCTATATACACTTTGTCTGTTGAAGGTACTTCTATATCGTTTCCGGAAACGTTGATGATGGTGTCTTCTTTGTGTCCGCCGCCTCCCTGCTCGTCTTCTGAATCGTTTCCTTAACCTACGAATCCGTCTTTTGTATAAATGTTGTCTGATCATGTATCGTTTGTATTTTTTCCTGTAACTCTTCATATAACCTTTTCTTGCCTTTCGTACATATGCCCAGACTTTCTTTCTATGTGTTCTCCTGTTTGAATTGACAGGTTGAGTGTAGGCTGATTTGATTTTTCGAGCAACAAATCTGAGAGATGGCCTGGAGTTGGCTTCCTTGTGGAATGGACTATTTGTGTTACGATTCTGCCATCCCCGCCTTTTTAAGACAAACTGTGTGCTATGCTTTGTGCGATCAAGCTTTCTATCAATGTCATCATCCTATAAAAACGAACGAATATATACACATGCACAAAACAGAATTTTAAATCAACTACTAGACAAAAATTCATCTTTTCAGTATCTTTCCATTTTCTGATTTATTTACTTAATATTTTCTTAATATGCGGTTGAATAACGTTAAATAAGTTCTGGATTTAATTTTTTTTTTTTGTAAAAGAAAAGCAATAGGACTTAAGTAAATGGCCGTCTTTTCATTTTGTTCCCAAAATCGTTTGCTGTCGAGTCCTATTATTAATCCCATCTTGATATTTTCCTAAAATGGTTGTACGATTAAAATGTGAACATTTGCAGAAATTTTATCTACTGAAAACCTTGCAAATATTAAACCTGTGAGGTATTTTACACATTCGCTTTGCTATTTTAAGTAGGAAATCGAAATACTTACCTCTCGTCTGAAAAGGGTCTCTCCTGCATAACGTAAAAAAGAACTAACTAAGCAAAGATAAAGCGAAATTTTAAAAAAAATGATTATTAATTTCTGAAATAAACATATATCAGATTCTTACCTTTACATGATATAGCAAATAAAATTGATAGCAAAGCTGCAACAAATATCAGATAACCTTTCATAACTTAAAGTAATAAAATTGATAAGGTAAATAAGGTTTACTAACAAGTTTTACTCTTTTTTCCATTTTTGTACTTACAAAAGGCGTGTTGATTTAAGGTTAGACATATAATGTGAAGAAGGAGGTGGGAAAGAAGATGGTGTAACGCTAATGAAGTGAACTGGGTTAGAACATAGCAGATGCTGCAAACACAACAGCAAGGAAAACAATTTGCAGTGATTTCATTGAAAAATGAATTAATAACACTGAATCTGAAATCATTGAGACCACATTTATCAAAAACATTTATATAGCCAATCTTCTAACCAATCTCCACCCCACTCTACCCCCATCCAAAACTTTTGTCGAACAAATTCTGAAACCAGGCTATGGACAAATGAGTTGATGGTACAAGGACATCAACTGTATAGTTTAGAGTCAACATTTCTCAAATTCTTAGCTCCATACAATGATCTTGTCAGCAAATAAAATATGCCATTAAATCGAATGTTGACTGACGTTTTTCTGTTAGGCCATTATTTTCACATTGAATTGTCTACGGATTTTTCCGTTTGCCCCATTATTACAAGGAGCACACGGCGGGTGTCCAAAGGAGATACCTACTCCTGCCCTGGCTTCTGATCCCAACTCTGATGTTTTTAGAGGTCCATGTTTGTTCTTCCCCCAATTTGTATTGTTTTTATAGACTTTTGAGCTCAATTACTGTTCGTTATCTTCATATTTCATCATAGAACTACAATTACAGTAAAAAAAGTTTTCTTCTTTAGAATGACCATTTTAGTATTTTCAAAATGATCTGAATAAAAATACTCTGAAATTCTGTTTAAAATTGACATATGAACAAAAAATTTTCTATCCGAAAAAAGATTTTAGAGGGAAATGTCGTTATGTTTATGCTACAAGAAGAAGGTACTGTTTTGGCTTTATTGTGCCTAAAATTTAATGTTTTCAAAAAGTTTTGAAACTGGTCTACATATGAGTTGAGTATATGACTATGATAAAGTACAAAAGAATAATGCATGAAGGAGGACCATTCTGATTATATGAGGTCATTATTTTGATACATTTCTCTTGTTTAAAGCCTCAAAAGGATCCATTTAAGGTTTATTTCCTGGAGAAAATTGTGTCCACATCCGCCTTACTTCAATTTTCGGATATGTTGTGTAAAATTTTTTGAAAAATGCCTTTTTTCAAATTCTTTGTGGGCGATGCATGTGCTCTATATTTTCTGAAAGAAAATTCCACTGATAAACGGTATCTTTTGCAATTTGCACAAGTTCATGTCGTTGCAATTAGCATTTTGGAGGTCATGAAAGAAGAAAAACATTTGTATGAGCTTACTGCATGGAATTTCATGATTCAAAATGCATGAGTTTTAATTTCTTACATCACTTTCATATCTCAGAAAAATACAGGAAGATATGAATTGAAACCGTAATTTGTTCAAATATGCTACCAAGATATTAAAAAAGAAACGCTGAAATATTTGTTTAGAATTGACTGCACTCTTATCAAAGACGACCAAAACAAAACTGAAATAGCATTCCTTCCAACTATAATGAACCATTCACAAGTACAAGAGATTAACAGCTAATAGTGTTACAACACAGGATTATTTCACCGACATCGAAAATTTACAATATGCTTAACACAATATTACACAAAGCAAAGCTTTTGGATGTCAATTTTTTCACCCAAAGGCCTTCGCATACATCAGCACTTTTTTCTTTTTTCTTTCGTGGTATAAAAGCGAATTTATTCATGAGGGCCCCTGTAAAGTATATGGACAAAGCTAACCATGGAGACTAGGACATTCATACGCTTAGTATCCCTAGCAGTATTTCTTTGTCTTTGCATCATCGCCTTCTTCCCAGAAGATGTGGATGGTAAACGGCCATACAATTTAGTTTTTTTTCTAAGCATCTATCTTTAAACAAGTGCAGTTTAAAGTACATGAAAAAAATTTGTATTTTCAGAATTTAAAGCAGTGTTTAACATTTGGTTTTGTGTTTGGTGTCAAACCATCCATTTGCAATTTTTAATCTCCTTTTTCACACAAGAATGCCAGTACTGTACTTTTTCTGTTGATTATGTTAGGATTTATGTAAATTGAACTGTACCAAAGAGTACAATAATCCTTTATAGCTTAAAATAAGATTTTCTATCACAGGATAAGAATGTATCTTCTAACATCAAGATGGTATGATATATGGAATTGGATTTCAGTGGAACAAATTCAAGTGATAAGAACGATACATGCATTTCTCATTCTTTGAATTTTAGGTACATATGCATTACGCAGAAGAGGGTATGGGGTTAGACGAAAATATGGCTACAAGATAAGAAGGAGTGGCTTTAACAAAAGAGGGGGAATCAGAGGCCGGTTTCGTAAATCAAGACGTGGATACAGAAGGTAGCCTTCATGGCAACTAAAACAACTTTTGTAGAGACACAAACTGAAAAAATCATAAGTCCTATAAAGGAAAAAGTATGGAAATATATTTTTTACATTTCTGTTGAATTGCAAAAAGTAGTGATATAGATCTGGCTATATTTCATTCCTGCTTCCTATAAATGCAAGACTTGAGTCAAATTGAATGTCTTTAATTTCTTATATATAATTTATTTTGAAAAAAAAAACAGGTATTTAGACAAGACATATACTGTTTAAAAAGTTTTTTCCACATTTCAGGATAAAAAGAATAAGATTTGTGAGAAGAAAATACCCCAGAAGAAAGATCATCAGAATTAAACATATCTTCAGGTAAAATTTTTCTATAAAATATAAATTTTCTTATCAAATAAGATGAGCATGTATGGATAGGAAAATCGCAATGTACACGGAAGACTTAACTATTGGGATTTGTCAAGGAGCCACTATGGTCATCAACATGCTGGCTGATTTGATATCTTAATTTTGTGAAATTACATGATAAACAACGTTCATGTATTATTACATTAACCCTGACTTAATTATATAAAACCTACGCTGCATCATATCATCGAACATCTTTTTTCGTCAATCTCTTTCATTAAAAAAGATTCATGCAATTTTTACCGTGATAATTTACCTAGACGTAGGAGACCTGTTGTGATCCGCCACCCAGTAACCCGTCACTACCATAATCACAAACACTACCATTACTACAGATATCGCCCACGATACCTGCCGCCATACTTACCGATAGGGTGCGCTGGTCGATGTGGTCGAAACGCTTATTGTTACAGAGGTCATATGTGCGTTTGTAAACGTGGATATAAAGGCAATCCGCTCAGAGGCTGTCGTCCAGGTAACTAATTAATTTCGAGCCAAGATTGAAATTGGGAAAATGTTGTAGCTTTATTTCATAAATTGTTGACTGAATGCAAGTACATTTATTTTTCTTAATAATGAACAGGATACTTAAAGTTTTTAATGTTACTATTCAGTTAATTCAACATATGACTGAATAAAAAAAAATCAGAATATTTTTTAAGAACTTTTCTTACAAGAAGGGTACAAAACGCAGTCGTGGAGAGAAGGTATACATCTGGCTGAAATGAAATTTTATGTATTGACATGCTAAAAAATTTGTCAGAATCTTCATTGCATATTATCATTTATGTCTGGTATGATGTAGGATTTAACTAAATTATTTTTTGTTCTTTATATACGTACAAAGGGGGCGGACCATGTGGAAACAAATGTGGAAAGTACGCCATTTGCAAGTCTGGAAAATGTCAGTGCAGGTCTGGCTACTTTGGGAACCCCTTAGTCGCCTGTTTCAAAGGTGAAAATAAAAACACTGTGAAATTTCCAAACTGATATAAATAATAATGATCAATTATTGGTTTGGTTAAATTTGAATTTATTACGTAGGAAGAGTTTAAACATGTGATTGTAAGTTAACGGCTTTTAAAATCGATGCTCTATTTGATCACGATTTAATATCGTATAATATATTAAGTTGAATCGGACAAATAAATACGTATTGCAATGGTGTCTCGTGTACATCCTCGGTTGTTATAGGTACTTAAATCAGGATATATTAGTATTTATATTAAATTATATACGACCTCGTTGTGGTAATCTTACAGAATATAAGTGTAAACGAGGCTGTGGTGTAAACGCTGTTTGTGACAGAAGGAAAGGAATATGCAAGTGTAAACCAAAATACATAGGAAATCCACACGTACGCTGCATCGCATGTAAGTTTCGTGACCAAGTTGAGTGTAAGCTTTCGTTTTCTTTACCATTTTTGTTATTGTTTTCGATTTTTTTCATTGTAGTTACCCTGGATCAAAACAGACTTCTTTGAAATCAATGCTACTTGATTCCTTTTGAAAGACTCTAAATGAAGCAGTCATAGATTTCATTAAAACAATAAAATCAAATCTACATCATGAAAATAATTTCTGTGAATATTGCTGTAAACAGCAAATACAACTGTATGCACAAATTTTCCTGACCACAACTACATTTATAGTGAGAAACTTAATTTCAGGAGTGCTTAGGTATATATACTAATAGACTAAATCATTTTCCATATGAATTATCTCTTTACTTTCCGAAGTAATTGTTCTAAAATCTTTTGTATTATTCCTTTTTTCTTCTTAAGTATATGGATGTAAAGGTGGATGTGGTCCCTATGCATTCTGTCAGAGTGGAAAATTTTGTAAGTGCAAACCCGGATATGGCCCAAATCCTGTGGTCGGATGTAAACCAGGTAACTTGTATTTCACATGATAAAATTAAGGCTCATTGATATATTGAGAAAAGAGATAACTCTTATAACTCTTACTGAGAGAAATAAAATAAATAATTATTGAAAAATGCCTGTTGGATGAAGAACCTAAATGTAGAGTATAGAAATACTTGTATGTTCTTATTCTTTAAAAAAAAACAAAACAAAACAAAAACAACAAACAAATAAACAAACAAACAAAAAACAGAAAGAGAAGAAAAACAATTATCACGTAATTATTATAATAGCATGTCAGCATTAAAATTTGAATATTAATTTATTCATTTGGACAAAATTTATAATGAAAATTACACACACTCTTTCACAGAATTTTTTTTTTAAAAAATAATAAGAAAATATTTTTGTGTATTGTGCAATGTTAATTATAAACATTGCAATGTATTTTAATCAGTGCCTGGGTGTGTTCGAAAATGTGGATTGAATGCCTACTGTGATGCCCCAAACAGAAAGTGTGTTTGTAGAAGTGGATATGTGGGCAATCCATACCAGAGATGTAGACATAGTAAGAATTGTTTGTTTGTTTGTTTGTTTATCGTCTATTCGAAAAAAAAATTCACTCATATTGAGACACCAACACTAGCCAGTGGAGGACTGCAAATTAAGGCCTGTATTTGACACTTACATGTACGGCCTTTGAGCAGGGGAGGATCTTTTTCGTGCCAGCAATAACTGCGACACGGGACCTTGGTTTATACGGTCTCATCTGAAGGACCGGTCTCCACGTCCAACAGTAGGTTTCAAATCTAAGACGTAAGGTTCAACTCCTTATTCCGCAACTCTAGAGCGAATGCTCTAACATGTGTGCCACACGGATGACCATTAGGAATTGTTACCTACAAATCCATTTTTTTTTAAATTACTGATAAAATTCGAAACTGTTCAAAGTTTTCAATCAAGTTTGTCTCAAATTAATGAATACTCACCATTTTATTGTAGGATACTCGATTCCTTGCGGTGGTAAATGTGGAAAGAACGCTTACTGCAGAAAAGGGGTGTGTGTCTGTAAATCTAACTGTCATGGCAACCCATACACAAACTGTGTGAAGAATAAATATTAAAATAAAATTGTCGGTCAAGGTAATCTCTTTTTAAAAATACGAAACGATTTATTGTGATAATTTAGTTAATTAGTAAGGAACAGGAAATTGATTAGTTATAAAATTTTAATATCATTATATGTTCTTTTTTCCTGAATCTTTCAGTTTTGCAAAGTTAAATAGAAATTCGGGAGCCTGTTACTCTTATTCCTTCAAAAATGTCAAATGAAAATACTTACATAAATTTATGTTACATTCAAATAACCTGTTACCTCTAGCAAGTGGTAACAAAGAAAAGGGATTAATCTTAGCGGAAGATAATCGATACCCTATAATTTTTAAGCACTTATTTACAGGTAAATGAAAGTAATTTGCCAAAAATGAAAATAAAATACAAACAAGAGGTCCTTGGGTCACAATGCTCAACTGAGTAACTTTGGTCCTGCTCTTTATCATCATCATATACCATTCACCAGAATGCTTTGTGCCAAGTTTAATTGTAATTGACCCAGTGGTTATGTAGAAGATGATATTGCGACAAAAGCAACGATAAAAAGAACAGGAAATAAGCAAATTTTGATCAAAAAACTCATTTGATCCTTCGACTCGGATGTGTGTATAAAAAAAAACAACTGAGAAATATTATGTTATTTAAGTTTTATTTCAAGAATTGTTGACAGTTAACTAATCTTACATTAATGTTAACATCTGTAACACTTCAAACTTCATTCATCATACACAACTAACACTTCTGTGCATACAAATGGAATTAAAAACACATACACTAAACGTTTATTATTGTCAAAACCACATATCAAAAAAATTATGTCAATACTTAAATAACATTTTCAACTAGAATAAGACTTAAAGAGATACTGCTATTTGGTGAATGAACGTTTTGTTACTTACATACCATGCACGGGTATAATTTCTTCAAATAAAATCTTCATTTAATATATAATATTATATGAATGCTTTATATAGAAATCTTTTAAAACCATAAAGACATATAGGTACGTTATTAACTAAACACTAGCCTTCAGATTTTACATTAAAAGGGAAAAATGGAACTGAAATTCACAAGAATGTATTTAACATTTTGTACAAAAAATACATTAATAGAAGTCATTGTTCATAACATGTATCAAAAATAATACTACAAAACAAAAAAATGGAATTCTAGAGAGACATTCATTATAGATAACTATCATAGAGACAACGGTCCATTGGATGTTCTACCATGGCTATAAAGTATATAACAACTCTTTTCTTTTCCATACTCATGTTGTCAAAAACACTTAGCTGACATCCGGAATGTTTGGGTTAAATACAGATATGCCCTATGTCTGTTCGCCCTTCCAATTACTCCACAAATACAAGATGTATAACTTTGTGCATAAAGCAAAAAGATTCGTTCTCCATCAATATTGCTGAATGTAACAGATTTTGTTGATGTCGAATTGTGCTCTTTCAGTGCAATCATGGTCTTCACAAATTCAAGAACATTTTCAAAAAGACTTTGCAAATAAGCTAGAAGAATCAGCTTCTAATGTCTGTAACCTATTTTTGAACACGATTCCTTGGCAATATCAGAATCAAAAAGATGATTCACAAACGATTTTTATCACCTTGTCCAGAGATAAAAAAAGCACAATGTAGTTAAAAATGAAAAATACGAAACTAGCACACTGAAATTCCTGCTAGCTCCATTCACTCCGCGAGTGTTCATAGTGTTTGTGGGGAGAGTAGACTCTTCTTCCACCTTGAATAAAATCCTGTCTATAATGTGGATAATGCCATTGTTTGCTAGAATATTGGACTGGATTATTTTGGACTGCACGCCATTCCACTCCAGTAGTATTTCTGTATAATTAGAATAGAAATTGTTTATTGAATAAAGTTTAAACAAGACACTCAGCTTGTAAATTCACGTTTTTTAGGAGATCATGAAATGAACTGTGTTTATGACTATTCTTTCCCTCCTAGAATTTGATTTCCATTTGCAAAGATAAAAACATTCATGTACACATATTTCATTCTACATTTTGATATGAGTAATATTTACCTTGGGTTTCTTCCTCCTTAAAAATAACATTTACTTTGAGAACACAGTCAGTTGAATTTTTATTACTACATGTAGCTCGAATTCTCTCTATACTAAGGGCTGTTCCATTCACTGTGTGGCGTTCGAGAAGCTAAGTTCAAAGATAAAAATAAATAAACAGATAAATTTCCAACAGAAAAGCTTGTAATAACCTTATAACTAGTTAGTGAAAAATAGCCTAGAAGTGTTTCTTATGCAACCATACCACAGTAAACCACATCAAGTCATCAGTTATAAGAGAATAATTGAATTTGAATGTATTCTTAAGCTGGGTCGTTTTTAATTATTTTCTTATCAGAAAATATTAGTGTGTAGTAATCATAATTTCGGAAAATGCATATTTGCAATGTGTTTTACTGTACAGATAAGAATGTTTTAGACCTTTGCAAAAACAATAAAAAAGTAAAAACAGATGGTTAGATTTTTCACTTTTTTCATATTGTTTCGTGAAAATTTAATTTCAACTATAGTTCACCTCATATTTCTCTGATGTGTTGACAAGATTATACAGGTATGAAATCTCAGGCTGAGACAAATACAGAAAGGCTTCACTAGCAGGCATAAACACTGTGAACTCATTGTTTGTGTCCCTAAAATCTTCTTCAACTCCAGGTGGAAAAATCCCCATGATATTCTGCAAAGAAGCTCTGAAAAACGAAGAAGAGTTTATATATAAATTTACTCATTTACTAATGAAAAGTTATATTTTTTAATGAAAAATATTTTGTCTTAAAAAATATTTAGAAAATGATTTGTTAAAAATAGATATCAAACTTCCATTTTCAATAAATATATTTATCTTAACTTTGTACGAGAAAGAAGAAAAGGGAATGGTGTAAACTAGCAGTATTCTAACATAACCCAGCCAGGGCTCAATCCAGGTATCCTAAAAGCTGATGTATATAGTAGCCTCTAAATGCTTGCATCTCGAACATACTCTTTCCTTATGAACCATATAATCTTTGTCCATGAACTTACTTCAATTTATCCTGAGCTTTCATCTCATCAATAATATTTTTGAAAGAATAATCCAGAAATCCGTCGATGACGTAAATGACCCCATTGCTACAAGCAACTCCATCTCTATTGATGTCAAGGTCGTATCTAAGGTTACTAAATCCAGCATCAATAGAAGTCCCCTCAACTGTAAAAATTAAATTAGACCTTTCTATAATTACAGAGATAATCAACTTACTTGTGTAAAATCAGTAAAATGGTGGCCTTATAATAACTAGTTTACTTTTCATTTGTAGAAAATAAAATATTTGATCTTCTTGCATCAGATATATTTCACCTGATACCTTACTAAATGTATTTCATATGTTTGATGATGAAATATCTATGACTATCATATCAAGATAACTATGTCTACTTAAATTTTTTAATCACAGTTGTATGAAATATAACCTTTAACAATCAGATCAAATGTAAATTAACAACGGAAAAACTGGAAATTTGAAGTACCTGTACTCTGTTTTTCAAACGTAAATGGTATTCCATAGGAGGATCTGAATGTAAACTTGTGTTGCATATGTTTTCTGATGAATTTGCTGTCTAGCAGCCCATTTGGAATGACATGACCTTTAAAAATCTACAGAAAAAGGTTGAAAGTATTAGATACTTTGAAAGTTATCTGGTTTTTATCTCTTTTATAACTAGACTTTGACCCGTGCGTGCACGGGTTGACATTGTTATGAATGCATCCATGTGCATATCGGACTTTCACAAAATAGATACATCGACACATTCATATATTGTAAGGTACTTTTGAAATAAACAATGAATGTGAATATAATTCTTTTTTTTCTTTTTTTTTTTTTTTTTTTTTTTTTTTTTTTTTTTTGCAAAAACGGCGTAGCGCAGAATGGGTTTGACCCAAAGTTAGCTATAAATCAAGTCATGAGTTCGAATCACGCCAGAGCTTACATAAATTTCACCTTTCCAAACAAATTTAGTAAAAGAAATTATTGATATTTATTGAAAATATGACAACAACAAAGTGCTGAGCACTGCTGATACATATCAAGCAAAGTAATGAAAATGAAGAAATGTGTTTAGCTGGTATTTTTACACAATTAGTTATTAAACTGAGGGTGTAAAAATTTTTGTAACAATTTTAACACTGCAGGTCTCAACTTGTTCAAAATATGACCTCAACAATAAAAGAGATATTAAGCACTACTAATACGTATACTTTATATATACACAGGTAATAGACATGTATATAATCTGTAAAAGCAGAAATGAAAATGGACAAATGTGCTATATTGGTATTTCTACACAATTTAGCAGATGTGAAGCAGAACAGATTATCTTGCAAATAATCCCCCCCCCCCCAAAAAAAACATACTGGTTGTTCAAGAGATCATAATAAAAATTAAGAATATCAAATGTACATTATATATGATATAAGAAAATGTTCTCATGACTGTCTGTTTTGATAAAAATTAATGCAATATCCTTGAATTAGTAATATTTTGAAGCGATTCGATTAAAACAAAAACCTCGGTTTTTGAATAATTTTGATTCGATTTTTGGAAACAATATGTTTGCTTCAGTTGTGTTTAAACCTGTTATAGTTATTGAAAATTCGAAATAAACAGTAACCAATTTGAAAGTTTTTTCATCTTTTATGATTCAACAAATGTAATGTGTTTTACCTTTAGCTCACCTGAGCTGTAAGCTCAAGTGAGTTTCTCTGATCACATTTTGTCTGTCGTCAGTCTGTCTAGCTGTCTGTCTGTCTGTAAACTTTTCACATTTTCGACTTCTTCTCCAAAACCACTAAGCCAATTCCAACCAAACTTGGCACAAAGCAATTCCTTATGTGAAGGGGATTCAAAATTGTTAAAATGAGGGACCACGCCCTTTGCCAAGGGAAGATAATTAAGAAATATTGAATTTTTTTGGTAAATCTTTAAAAATTTTCTTCTCAAGAACCATTTGACCAAGGAAGTTGAAACTTATGTGGAAGCATCCTCAGGTAGTGTAGATTCTAAATTGTTAAAATCATGACACCCAGGGATCGGGTGGGGCTTCAATGGGGGTTTGAAATTTTACATAGTAATATATAAGGAAAATCTTTAAAATCCTTCTTCTCAAGAACCTTTTGGTCAGGAATGTTGAAACTTATGTGGAAGCATTTTCAATTTCGTTTAAATCTTATCATGACCTTTCATGACCCCTGGGGGTACGGTGGGGCTACCATGGGGGAGGGGTATCCATGGGAGTATTTATAGGAAATTTTTTTAAGAATTTTCTTTTCCAAAACTACTTGACCAGAGAGGTTTTCTGAAATGTAAATTCATATAATGTACATTCAAATTTGATGATGACGATCACAGCGGGTCATGATAGGGTACAACCACAATGGGAGAGGGGGGGGGGACAGAATATTTACTGTAAATTTTACATATGAAAATCTTTGGAGAAAAATCTCAGAGTTAGAATATATATCAAAAACTAATATAAAAAAATATAAAAAACTAAATTTGTTCAGATATTTCTGATTTGTTAAAGCTGTTTGGGTTAGAGTAATTGACCATAGTTGCTCAGGTGAGCGGTGTGGCCCATGGGCCTCTTGTTTATACTAAGTATAAAATATATGGGAAACATAAATTATCATTATCTTAGATAAGCCAAGCAAGGGTATCCTAAGTAGGAAAGTAGGAATTTGAAGGTACTTCTTGCTGCAATAATGAAGCCTTTTCCTGGGGGTGGGGTACAACTCTTTTTGGATCACCCAATATCATTTCCATTTTTTAATTGAAATCACTCAATGTAATCAGGAACATTTTAAAATAAATGTTTCTAATGTTATTATTCAGAGCATAAATTTTTCCAAAATATTTAGTAAAGTTTGAGTTTAGCGCAAACATTAAAGTTTACTGACCTTTACCGATTTTATTTTGGGACAGCCAATGAGAATTTGGGAGCGGATCTTGAACTGAATATGGGAATTTTTCTTACTTCATACGTAAATAATGCAGCAAAAATAAAATACATACCTCATAAACATTTATATATCTGTTTAGTGATAACAAAAATTAATCTACTGCAGTATTAAACGTTTTCAATCAGAAGTCATTACATCACATGAGAACTGTCATGGCTGCTGAAGAAGACAACTTGTTTTCACGCTGGTGTATTTTTTCTTGTGGCGATTTAATAAAACATAAGTTTGTTTGCTACGATTAAATATAATTCATTTCATCAATGAATAAATACTTTTACGATCTTAATTTTGTCCCACCTCATAGTTTTGAGATTTACTATGCATGGATTAAATTTTACAAACAATCGATATTTTAGCAGCATTGATAGAATGAACTGTACGGGCCGCAAGAGCTGACTTCAGACTACCTATCAAGCGTAGTTACCACGACAACCTTTACATATTTAGAAGAACAGGCTGTCCCTTCTATATAACGTACCGAAGATCAATAACAATAATTTACATATTTCACCCACTTTTTTTTAAAGTTAAAGAAATTTTTGGAGGTGAAGTTATAAATCTCAGCAGTGAAGGTTATAGTAAACATGGCGCCCAAGTTGCAATCATTTAGACACATTTCAAATTGAAAATATCGGTTATATTGAGGTTATTTAATTATTTCGATTTATTTCAAAGTTAAGAAATGAAAATAATGTTATTGTAATTTTTGGCGGAAAAAGAATGCCTACTTCACTAAGATGTGATTCTAGCTGGAGTTGTAACACCCCCCCCCTTTCCCCTCAAAAAAGCATAAAAGAAAGGAAGGATAAAATAAAATCAGGTAGCTACATTAATATTGCTCCTACGATCATGAGCTTTTTGCCTCCGTTGAGATGACCAGAGACATAAATAACATATAATAAATGTGTCTTCGAGATGGCGAATGATTACCCACGTGGCAAAGTATCACATTTGCATGGATAAACTCAGAAACGATAATACAAATACGTGTAAATTTTCCTTGGAAATTTGCTATATATTTTGTTCATATATATTTATGATTTCTTATTAGAGAAAATTATAAAATAACAAATATATATCTACTTAGTACAAATTACATTTGTCTTCTCTGATTTGAACACCGTGATTTAGCGTGAATGTAATACGCACGCGCAAGATTGTAAAATCCAAAAAATCCAGATGATTTCCGTAATTTTTTGAGGAATTTTCGTTGATTATTAATTAGCGAAGCTTAATTGAGAAAAAATAAAAACAAATTGGTAATCTTCAAGTACCAATGATGTTTAAAATATATAAAACAAACGACAGTACTCTTCCGATTTATCAGTATTAAAGGCCAAAAATTCGAGTCTATTATTTTAATATAGTAGTACTGTATAGATTCAGCTAACAATCATGATTCAAAATAACAACATCATTTGCTACTGTAATCCAATGTTTAAAAATACCTTTATCACCAGAAAGAGTAATTTTTAATTTTCATAAAGAATTTTGTTTTTTATTACTTGTAAGCCATCTTACTTTTCTGAGGACTTGTGGATTTGATGCCATCCTCTGTAGATCATTAGAGGACAAGGAAGATAAATATTTAGAGGACGGAGCAAACACTGTCATTCTACTGTACTCATCCTTAAGAAGGTTAGAGAAGTCCGACAGATTTTTCATCAGATCATAGAATATCCTGAAAATGTGCAAAAAAGGAATTTTTTACTTTAAATTGTGAAATCTTTCCTTGTTTTTGTGGTTTTAAGAATTTGTATGAAAAATGTATGACCATCAGGAAGTGTTAATTTCAAACTAGACTTTCATGTTCATGCCTTGAACCATGAAATCAAATCCTAGCGAATCAAAATTTGTCCTCAAACCTAAAAAACTTGCCCCATCCAAAATATGCGATTTTAGGACATCGTTTCTATATTTATACTGTAGAATTTGTTTCATTCATTATCAGTCAATATTTGGAAAACATGAGAATTCCGAAAAGTCCGACTAATTTCAAGCGTAACAAAATAAACATTAAATAATCATATTTCTATTTCAAACATGAACAAATATGATTTAAACATGACCAAAGTATGGGGAGCAATATGGGAGGGAAGGGAGGACTTTTGTATTCTGTTTCAAACGTTACATCTGTTAAGTATTTTTGAGGCCTACCTCAGTTTTGGATAATTATACATGACCTCGGCTGCAACGTAGAATGGATAATACATGATAGTATCAACCACGTGGATGATTCCATTTATGGCAGGGATGTCAGGTCTGATGATACGAGTTCTCACATTGTTATTTGTTATGAATACTGAAAAAAGGAGAGATAGAAATTGAAACTGCCCTAACGGAAATGTACTCTCAAGTATACTTTTAAATTAATACTATGATTTACTAAGACGCTATAATACATTGATGTTTTGATAAACTGATACGTTGATACTTAACTTTAATACTACATGTATCTTTACTCTTGAACGTAGTTGGAGTTTATATCCAAAAATATCTTCCATATACAGATTATGAATGACATTTGTATAAACAAGTAAAATTAAATATTAATATTTAAAAAAAATTGAAAACTAGAATGAATAGAATCTAACAATTTGAAATTAGTTGTATTCACTATCAGCATTAAAAAATCTTTTATCAAATATGACAAGTTGTCGACATTACATTTGACACTTACAATATCGATGCTATCTACTTCCTTTCATAATAATAATAATTAAAAAAAAGATTGAAAACTTTGATCTTATAAATTACCATCTGTGGAAACACGTGTTATATGTAGAAATTCCTCTTCTGCCTTCATGCTTATTCCGTCATAGAGATCACTGGTATATTTACTGCCAGCAGATGTAACGTGTGCTTTAAGAACCTGTACAAATATTGATTTTATTTTAGCAGTGATAACATATGAATAGTTAAAAGTTTAAGAAATCAAAGTAGGTATTTTGACAATTTTTTAAACATTTTTTTAATTTTTCTTCTTTTTAAAAACGTACATTTTGGAATAAGGTTGAGTTTGCGAATAGGGTATCAGCACGTGACCTAGGAATGGCGGAGAACGCGGTGTTTATGGGAACAAACATTGTGAAGTGATTGTCTTCGTTAGACAAGGCGTGAGACAACTCCTTCATTCCTTCCAACCGCAGAATGTTAGATATGGAACTGAAATAAAGCACAACAATTTAAAGTAAATACAAAATTTATTCAGCAACTGTTATTTTCTGATGTTTTTTTTTTCTGTACGAGGGTTGTTCGAAAGTTCGTGGACGATGTCAATCTTCGTTATACTACTTCCAAGAAATTTAAAATACGCACAATATAATGTGTAAAAATATTTGTTTTGTTGATGTGTGAAGTTTCATTCCATTCGATTCAATAGAAATCAATTTATTTCATTTTAAAATCAACATGTTTGCTAACCCCGGAGCACACTTAACAACATTATAACGTCAAAAATATAGCGTCATGAAGTTCTCAAAATACTCTCCCTATACATTTCACACAGACTGGTCCAATCTCATTAAAAACGTGTCTCCATCAATTGAAATTTATTTTGTTAAAAATTGTTTCAGTAGCATATTTTTTGGTCAATGTTTTCTTTTTTTTTTACCGCATAACTATGCTTTTACAAGATCAGCAACCATGAAGCGCCTTTCTCTTTCCAAGACCTTACTAACTTAACGTTTTTGGTTAGATTTTTACAGATAATTCTTTTCCTCAGAGATCGTCCTCGTCTGAAACAGAGTCTCTATCATCCAAATACCGCCTGGGCCATTTACATACACACATACATGACTCGCTTTTGAGATATTTCATGCTTCTAACAACAATTTTTAGATTTAATTCTGACGTTTACCAGAGTACAACAGGAAATTGTATCCTACACTGCTGCTCCGTGACGTTCTACGACGTCATTTTTTGCAGTTTTTATTGAGGACTACCTATCTTCATATCTTTAGAAATTTATTTCTTTTCAACGATGCAAACTATTAATTCATAATCTGGAATATGAAACGATGTTACAATTTTTCATTTGATCGTCGAGTTTGAGCAATTTTATAGAGGATATGACTACAGACATTATTTAGGGTATTGCTCCGCGAACCAAATTTAGCAGTTTTTAACTCCTAATAAGTTTGAAATAAATCATGATATTTTTAAATTTTTAACAAAAACCATTTGAATTTATTGTTAAAATATTTCTACCAAATTTTGATAATATATGACGCTGAATAAAACAGATATGACAGAAGTCCACGAACTTTCCGAACAACCCTCGTATGTATGATGTACTTTTTTTGTACATGATAAAAAATTTTGAATGTTTGTGTTTTCCCAAAACATTTTTACAACTACTGTATCTGCCATTAAATAAATTAAACAACTTTTTTCATGAAGGTAAGTTCATATTTAACTTCTTTACCCTTGAAATTGTAGTGATACAGATATAAACTGCTAAAATTGAAATGGAGCACTCGTGAAAAGGGTGCTAATTTAATTTAGAGTCACAGGTGTGAAAAAAAAAAATCGAACTTTCAAAGTGTGCAGATTTAGCGAAATATGTATACAGAAATAGTATTGAAATGGGTAAAAATAGGATCTATTAATTAACATGCATACACATATCTGAATACGTCTGGCTATTCGATAAAAATATTAATTATCGACACTATATATGCATGTTATGTGTGTTATATTAAACATTTTGACAAACAGCTGACAAAATTGATAACTATTTGTAAAAATAAAACTATACATCAAAAACAAGTTATTTTAGATTGGATTTTAAATATATTTGCCTTGAATGTTGATATGTAATTCTAGACCTAAAAAAAAAATAGTCTACTAATTGAATAAAAAGCTATTTTATAAATGTCTTCACCATAATAATCAGGAAAAAATCTAATCAGCTTCTAAGCTGCACTTTTCTTAAAATTCTTTCTTATATATCTATATAGTGAAGTTTCTTTAAGTCTAAACGTAATTATGTAAGGTTGTTTAAAATGTTTAAAATGAACCCTCCGGCATTATAAATCAACCTTTTAAATACATTTTACATTTATTAATTAAGAGTGTTAATTACGAACCGTGAAACCTTGGTGTACAATTATCAAACAATATGAATTTTAGACTTATACACGTACAAAGTGAGTAGTAGCGAGCCTACAAGCTGTGTCTAAAAATATCTTACAGGGAAAAGCCTTTTCATAGGACATTAATTTGACCCTAACCCAGGTCATGGGACATTTAGTACATGTACCAAGCATTACAAACACTCAAACGTTAGTACTCAAAGTCCATCTACGTACTAAAAATCTATATTCGAAAAATATTATCCTTTAAAATGTTTGAATTCGTCAATTTTGTTAAAAAAAAAAAAAAAAAAAAAAAGTTAACACACATTTTTTTCGTAATCAACAATTATACAACAAAAACAAATAAATAAATAAATAAGAAAAAAATCATTTAGATTTTATATTGAAATTTTTTTTCACATGATTTTTAGAAATGGATAACCGGTGGTGTAGAGTGTTTCAAGTCCCTTTTAATCAATATTGGTTATCATCAATCTTAAGCAAATTTGTTATATAATATTAAGGTTTTTTTCAAAATCCAGATGGTTAAGTTGCTTTTCCCTGAAGACTGTAAGTTCTAATCTTTACATACTTACAATGAGCGATGCACCAAAATTCGGCACGTTAGTAAAAATTCTTTGAATACGCTATAAAACACATATATTTATCTATATATTTGTGAAAGTTATACTTACTACATACTTTATAAATATATTTAGTTCAAAGTGCAACTTAAAACACACATTAAAAGACATCGATTTTTTTTTTTGTTTTTGTTTTTTTTTTTTTTTTTTTTTGGTAACATAAAGAATTTTGAAAGCAATGCATAACACAGAGACTTCGAGTTTGCATTTATTCCTTTTTCTGAAATTAGAAGAATTAATTTTGAATTGATATAAAACAAACATGCATTTCTGTATACTTTCGGATTAAATGTTTAAGCATTTCAAATATGCTTTTAAACTCTGTCTCTTAATTATGTAAAAAACAAAGAAGAGATAAATAAATCAAAGAGATTTGTCAATATAAATTTTTCTTTCTGAAAAAAAAAACCAGAATACTTTTCACAAGTTTAATGTATCAAATACATTTTAAACGCTAAGAATAGCTTTTAGTTTGGTTTAAAAAAAATATTCTTGAAAGCTAAAGACCAATAGTTCTTCTATAGGCTATCTAACAAACTATTTGAAATATGTATATATTATATAGTGAAAAAACAAATTATACATGTAAAAATGCCTAAGTATCAAATAAATGAAGATTTTGTACAGTGTTTTCCAAAGCTTTGCAGTAATTGGAAAATATGCAATTTCCTTCACAGTAGTAGTATCTTTACACAAGCATGCAAGTTGTATCAAACATTTCAAATACTGTACATAATACTAAATATACTTCTCAGCTTTGTCAAATGTCACTGTAACTATTGAAGTTTTCTTTGTGAAAATTATTTATACAGAAGTGTATTTTTGCAATATAAAGATGAATAGTATTTTGTTGTAAAAATGTATTAATGTTATATATAACATTTCTCAGCTCAATACAAACATGCAGTTACATAGAAAAATTCTTAATCTATATCACAAATAGAAGAAATTTATTCATATAAATTTTAAATTGATTCATTTGAATTTTTTATGAATATATATCTACACAACTTCCGTTTTTCAGAGAAAACTTCAGGGTGTTGAAGACAACTTCGAATGATGTTTCAGTGACACATAGCCTTATCATGATGAAATCTTATAATTTTGTATACATACCTAACATCTTCATGACGGGCCAGCTCGTCCATTATGTTTCTGGTTGGTATATGTAGTATGTTGTCTATGATATGTAATACGCCATTGGAGCACCAAATGTCCTGAGTCACAACTTTTGCCACAACATAGCTTCCCTCAACAGTAAACTCTTAGAGAGATAAGATATATGTTGGATATATAAGTCCAATATAGAATAAAATACTGATTAAATTGCAAATTCAAATAATTGTTTCAAACAAGTTTATCCATTTAAAAACAGAGCTACATCAATGACATAATTCGTACTTATTCTGACAAATTTAAAAGGTATTCTATGACAAGAAATTAGCAACATATTTTTAGGCTACATGTGTATTAATTAATGTGTGTTGTACATGTCTTTATTATTGCAGCATAAGTTAAATGCCGTTCATGATATTTTTCAGATGTGTTCATTTTACTTTTCAAATGTATTACAAACATATTTTTTAGATTTTTTTGGTAAGCATAATACTTAATGTGAATATATAGATGTGTAACATATGCTAAAATATTTATAATTATGTTGTTTTTGTCTTATTCAGTGAAAATATGTTTCAATAAAATCTGCTGATATGATGTATTTCTTGACATGAAGAGTTCACAAGGTCTTTTCCTTGAATACCAAATGATTTTCTTTTACAGAATTTTACAAAATTACTGGTCGTCTTACCATGGTCTGTATTGGTTATTTCTACCCGCTGTCCTCCAAACGTATACTTTAGTACAGTACTGTAGATCTCTGTTGATGATAAAGCCTCGCCTTCGATAATATGTCCTTTTAAAGCCTAGAAGACAAATTCAAAGCAATCAATAAATGAATAAATAGGATACATGACTATTATTCCTTTATAAAATTAAATTATCACGTTAAGAAAAAACGGTTTAGGTAACAGCTTGCCCCGTAAGTGTGCATTTTAATTACATGTATAATATAGATTGCCGGATAATCAATATCATAAAAGCAAAGTGAGCAGAGGAACGATTGAACCTTTAAAGACAAATCTTTGTAGAAGTTGGCATTTATTTTAATGGAAACATAGTTATTTATCAAAGATATCTGTGCTAGCAGCAAGTCTTAAGATATGAAATTGATTATACCTTCAATGCTTTATCAGGTTGGTTAACAAAGATATTTTTGCGGGTGTCATTGCGGAGACTCATGATTGTAAGGTCAGAGGGCATGAAAACGGTCACTTTCCCGCCAAGACTTGTATCCCCGGAAAGAATCCCCTCTAGGACAGTGAAATCCCTCAGCATTTCACTAATTCTTCTGTAGAAAAATTTAGCATAAAATCTTTCAGAAATAAAATAAGAGATGGTGAGATGAGATAAATGTCTTCACATTCCAAGGTAGCTTTTGTTAAAAGAAAAAACTTCCTTAACACAACTATCCACATTCTGCATTTTACAGTAATGTAAAAACGATGCTGGATATTATTAACTTCATTAAGATATGAAAACTTTAATTAAGGTATACAGATACTTTTAACTTACAATAATTGGTTGTTCCCCTTGATGGCGTCCAGAACTGTGAATTGGTTTAGTCGGAGCACGCTTGACACAATATGTATGACACCATTCGTACATCCTATGTCCGCTTGTACAATCTTTGCCAGTATGTTCTCATTTTGTACATAGAGATCTAAAATATACAAGAGTTTGTAAGAAAAGGCAAGAATTACAGCTGAGCAGAACGAATCTCAAAATATTCGTGCAGTCCCTCGTTATATTGAAAACAAATACATGTATGGTAGATAAATTACTTTTTACACGTACAGTTTCTGACATATTTATTTTATTGCTTCAATACGAATTTTATTAAAACTGAACTGGATTATTTTGACATTTTAGTATTAACTAATAATTGAAGAAATTTTAACGGAAATATGCTATGCTCTGTAATTCACTTTATTATATACATTAAAACACGATTATAGCGAAGTGCCAAGGACCAACAATTTTGATTTGTTATAAACGTATATTTCGTTATATCCGTTTAGTTCTCAACAAATTTTAAAACTACAGGGAATGAAAATCACTTCACTGTAATCGTAAATTCATTAAAAGCGTCTTCGTTATAATTGTGTTTTACTGTATATTTTCTAACTCTTCCCTACCACCATTAAACTTCCGGATCGTCAGGGTGAAGTTGTTGATGGTTTTAAATGTTTTGCCTTCGGTGAAAGCAGAGGAGCTAAGATCCAGGCCTTTGACAATGTGTGCTCCCAGAACCTGAAGATTTATTTTTAATTTACAAAATAATGTTTTGAAATGCATAGTGATAAAACTGGTGTAACTATATGAATACATGTTTTGTTTAAACTCAGTTTTTTTTGGGGGGGGGAAATTCCGTTGTTGATTCTAGAAAATAACAAAATATACACTAAAAGATTTTCACATATGAAATAAATGTATGATGGAATTTCAAACTCAGAGACTTTGTAAATTAATCAGATTGAAAATATTTGAAATTTTCACTGAAAGCTACTTAGTAATTCAATTCGTTCAATACAGTATAGTAAAATTTGTCTTATCCGACTCTTGTCAATCCGTTTCATTGTGGATTCCGACCTTTGTTTGATTCCCACTTTACTATTTTCACTACACTGTGCAATTAACACCCTGTCTAATTATACATTTCGTCATCCCAGTGCATGTCGGATTAGACAATTTTCACTGTATTTTTCTTAAGTCCTTTATAGTCTATAGGCCTACCTCACTTCTGAGTCTATCATCTTGACCCAATCGTTGCTGGAACGTCCTGGGGATCTTGGCGAAGGCCTCATTATTGGGGGCAAAGAAGGTGTAAGTTTCTGAGGTACTCTGGATGTGGGAAAGGAGGTCCCCCGGGATTCCGTGGAGGTGACTGGCAAAAATACTGGGAAAAATAATGTGAGAAAAATAACAAAATTTTACACTTATGAAATAGAATTCTTTTTCAAAAATAAAATAATTTCAAATAATTTTTAGTTCATTTTTGCTAGTTTGGAACTTGGGACTAGGTTGGATAAATACCTGAGTGATTGAGTTGTATTAGTTCTGATGAACACTGTTTTATATATAAAGTACAGAATATGGTCAATCACGTGGACAACACCATTGGCAACGGGAATGTTAGACATGACGACGCGGGCGCGGATCCTGTTGTTTTGAACGTATACTGTCAAAACAGAAATATTTTTTATATATTGTAATGACAATATTTTGCTGTGTTAAAGATGAGCAATAAACTAAGGCCTCTACATTCAATTTTTTTTTGAAATATCCATCATCGTTTACAGCATTCAAAAAGATAAAATTGTCATTATATCTGTATCAGATTGTATTGTTTTTCTAGTAGTATTGAAAAAAACAGAACATAGATGCTTAATGATTAAAATATAGTCGTTGGGATTTTTTAAAAAAATCCTTCAACATCATAAATGTAGTACCATTCTCGCCCTCCCTGATAAAATGTAAGGTTCCCCGCTTGCTTTGTAAATCCTTAAGTTCGCCTCTAGCAGGAATAAACACGATCTCGTCCTCCACGATGTGGGCATGGATTGTCTAAAAATCGTCAACAATGTTAATAAGTCTCAAGTATTTCAAAAGTTGCCATGGTAGAACTTGAGAATTTCATATCATTTATGCCACGTCCATGAAAAATTTCAAAGGTCTGTTAACAAAGGTCATTTTATCTTACGAGAAAAACTGGATTTTAAATAAAATATACAAGTTCAATTAATAGAATTTTTGTTTGTTTGTTTGTTTTTATAAAGCATTATTAAGTCTAAATACCTCAGTACATTTTAGTATATAAATGCTTCAATAAAGAAAAAAATACGAAATACATTTTTTAAAATCTGATGACATAAGTTTTCTTACATATTTTAACAGAGTTGTGTTGAAGAAGAGAATATCCTGAGCATACGATGGCATCGGAAACAGAACAGCATCCGGAGGAACAAAGGATGTAAACTGGTGCTCTATATGGTTAGTCTTCGCCTTCATATCGGGGTCAATAATGGAGGCCCGCGCAATGGACCTGTCAAAGGGGCAAAAATAAATTATTAAACATGCATTTCCTCATAAAGAAACAGGGACAAGCTTAATAGATTGAAAAGCTGCAGATTTTAGCGAGAAGAGGAATTGAATGAAATCTTGCACGAATTAAATTTCTCTAATATTCCTTTCAAAATTTCATTCATTTTTTTTCCTTTGAAAATTCCTCTGGCAAAATTGATTACTGTCCTTCGTTGAGGAACAAACTACCTTATAATACCGAGTCTTTAACGATTCTAACAAAGAAAGTAATGAACTTCTTTTACAATCGGTAATTCTCTTAACTTACTGAAACTGGTACCCCGGCAGATCCGGATAAAGGAGGTAGTCGTGTAGGGTTTTTGCACTAGATACAGGAGCCAGTATCCGGTCTATGATATACAGGACGCCATTACTGCCAACAATGTCTCGTACCATGAGTTCAGCACCATTCACCGTAAAAATCTAGAAATAATTGAAGATAAAATGAAATATAAAGATAACGAACCGTATTCAATCTCGAAAGTAAAATTAAACGATACAAATTTGGAGCAGAGCAGATGCGGACCTCAACATTTAGAGGTGGGATCAGGTGCCAGTGAGGAGTGAGCATCCCCTGCCGACCGGTCACACCCGCCGTGTGCTCCTTGTCATGATCGGGAAAAAAACCCCGGAAAAATCTTAGCATTTTAGTGTGTAAGTAATGGCCTAACAATTAGTATGAAAAACACCAGTCAGCATTTATTATGTTTCTGTAGATTAATATGTTACATATATTTGATATAATGGCATTTTGTACATTTTGAAAACTAATTTTGTAGCGTGAATTCTGGTGTAGGGATATGAGATGAGGGTCGCTGGGGTGGGTTCATATTGTCATCAAACATGTATTGTATTTTTTTTTAATCCTGTTAAATGGCAATAATTAAAAATTACCTGTATAAATTATTGAGTTGACAATTTACAACGCTTATTCCTTCTGTACTATATTCGCTCAAAAAATTAACGGCATTGAGTGCTAAGAAATTGACCTTCAAATTTTTAAAATTTAAACTTATTTTTGTTCATTTCATGTGAAATTTAAATTTCATTTCATTTATATACTAATTGAATGTCTTTTCATATTACATCAAAAAAAAATTTAAATGATGTAAATTTTTTCTTCAGATAATATTTTGAATTTTAAAATTTGTCAGGTGTGCCTTCAACAAAGACGATTTTTTATGTACTCAGCATTTAAATTTGACATACATAGCTAAATATTTAAAGAAAATTTGTAAAATTGCATGTATATGGATAGGTAAATGTCACTTTCGACTGTCATGTAATCAGTCATTTTGAAGGTCTCACTGAATAAATCTTTTTTTCTGGAAATGAATGAAGCTCAAAATGACTGACGTTTTACTCATAATTATTTTAAATTGTCGACACATTTATTCCTGTAAAGACATTTACCTTGAAATGTAATAAAAGAATTTTTATATTAATTCTCGACCTTTAGATTTAAATTTGCTCTATATCTCATAAACTGCTAAATTTTATTAACGTCATTTTTCTTTCATGTACCGATGGATTTTTGAAAGGTAATAGATTTGGCTGTTTTAATATCAAGACCATCTGTAAAATCTTTGAATAAATTGACTGAATTATTAATTGTCAACCGACAAAAAATGTAAGGGGGTGAAATTACACACAAGGTAAGGATTTTTTGGCTAAATTATTTTTATATAATTATACATGTATGTCGGCCAACTGATTTGCTGTGTGATACATGTATAAGAAGTTCAATGAATTTATTTATTGTAGGTCAACGAACATTTCATATGACATGGCACCTGACTTAAGTTGTTAATGCCTTTTTTGCAACTTTTTTGTCATATTCAAGACATGGGTGGCATTGCATGTGATTTTTGTTTACCCTTTTGGAATACACAATAGATGATATTTACGTGAGATAACTTCATATATGATGCAAACTCAAAACAAATTTCTTATTACCAAGCATGTGTTCAAATTTACTAGGTGAAGGTAAATGCAAAATGTACACAATATCATGTTCTAAAATCTGCATTTACCCCCTCACTAGGTAAATTTAGAATTCATAATAAGAAAGTTTTCTGTCTGTTCTAAATATTGAATTTATTGGGCGGAAGTAAAAATACAAAATTTAAGAATAGAATAAAATAAGAAGTTTACAATTTAATTCTAAACTTCGAATTTACTCTCATCCAGTAACATCAGCATTATGAATTTGAAATTCCTCCTTTAAGAATACCTTTCTTAAGGTAGGAATTTACATGTTTAATTCTATATAAAAGTAATCCCTGATCATGGATATTGTATATATTGTATAAATTCCCTACCTTCTCCCCTCCACTGTGGTAGATATTCAGTCTTAGATTGTAGTTTGAGGGATGTTTGGAGATTATGGTTTGACCGTCCACGATTTCATTCGAGAGAACTTTCCCCCTCCCTACAAAATAAAAAAAGTGGGGTTTTTTGATAAATATAATTATTACTTCTTACTTCTTAGTTCCCTTTCCTGAGCTTTTATTTAATTTTTTTTTTTTTTTTTTGAAATCACATTCAATTCATCCCTTTTTCAATGTAACAGAAGTGCATCTCAATGCAGGTATGTAAATTAATATCATTATAACAGAAAAAAATACAAATTTCAATTGCACCTATATGTACATGTACGAGTGTGTATGACATTTATGTAATACATACATGCCTTGTTGGGCATTTTCAGCAATTTCCGTGCCAGAAAACATCAAATGAATTTGATAATATAGGCAAAAAATAAAATGAACATTGCTTATGTTAAAGAGGTTAATATATTCCAAAAACTCTTCGTACGTTTTTCCCCACTAGTCAGTATACATATAAAGAAAATGAACACTCCGTTTCACCTTTTAAATAGGGCATAGAAATCTTCAAAGAAAAGGAATTTACAAACTACTTTTTTGATGATCAAAATGATGATAATTTATATACAATGACCTTTAATCATTAATTTTCAATATTATAATAACTATGAGATTGTAGTGCGGTCGACTTATAATTCGAGAAATTCGTTCAGTATGCATACTTAATTAATGCAGATTCTTGCGCTGCAAAATGAATTATATGAAAGACAAATAGCACCTTTGCCAACCGAATAACGTTTCAAAATAGTTTTGAAGAGTTACAGTTCAATCGATTTATATCCTTCAAAAATTTATATTAACGTGTAACTATATGAGATATTTGACATTTCATATGCTTCGGTGAACATATTAAATATAAATAGAATTCATCGCCATAAATTTAAATTCATAGGAATACGCATATTGATAAATAAAACATGTGACTTTAAAAATTAGAAATTTATTTGGACTGGCACACCTTTCTTATCTAAGATGTTTTGAAGCATACTTCGAATTCAAAGCAATTTAAAGAAACAGATTTTTGGTTAAGTTAATGTAGACACGTATCTTTAATTCATACCTGAAGCTGATCATACATAAACTACTCAACTTTATTTTTTTTTCCAACCGATTAATGAGTTTTCTTTTCAAAGAACTTAATTATTTTTTTTTCTCTATTCTACATAATTCAGACGAGTTAATAATTCTTAATAATTTCAACAAATGTGTATACATGTCTATCGTTTTTTTTGGAGGTAAACATTTTAAAGATGATACCGTTCGAAGCCATGGTGATCCCTAACGATAAATGTTGTTAAGTACAAAAATATGAATAAAAATCCGTATATCCATATCAGTTGCAGAGAGAGAGAAAGAGAGAGAGAGACAGAGATTGGCAGATAAGGAGTTGGAGTCCAATCGTAAATTCTCGGGCCTTTTCGAGCTCTGTTGGAAAAGGCCCGAGAAGATGTGATTGATTGAGGAGGATGGAAACTTCGGTTTCTCATCAGAAACACTTGGCTCACCTCCACCGATTCGTACCTCATCTGATGAAGGCGACGGAATCATCCGAAGTTTGCCGAATGTCCTCAGAACCTCATTTTTATATAAATTATATCACATCTTTATATTCAGAGTCGTCCAACTGGAGCTGACTTTAATCAATAAGAATTCTTTCCCCTTACCAATGTGATACAACATCAGCGTAGTGACGCTCTCTCTGTTGTCCAAATCGAGGCCGTATTTTGATTGGACGTTCTTAAATCTCCAGAAGATCTCGGAAGACGGGACAAAGGCCGTGATGTCAGGTTGTTCATACTGACTTCCAAGGTCGTTCTTCAAAATGATGTCGTCTGCCTGTAATGGACAAAATGCAGATACAGACGTTTGTCGTTTGAAAAAATAGCAAATTTTTGAAAACAGGAAGAAGCAGTAAGAAGACGTGAAAGCGGTGGGGGCGGGGGGGGGGGGGGTGCGCTTAATAATTTTGCCAGTACGGTGTATATATTATACAATTATAATATCAATGCTTATTTTCGGTGTGTCACCGAATAATGTCCTTTTTTTCCACTTTTGCACTTCCAGGAATATCCGCCCCTTCACCAAACTGAAATTGCTTCCTGTATGCAGCATTCCAAAAAAGGGGGGATGAAATCTTTACGTTACTAGATGGAACACAACTCCCCAATAAATCTTAAAGTATAGGCTCGTAGAACGCGGGGGTAGGGGGGCGCCCCCTTTTTTCTGAGTACAGTATTCTTTTATAATATTTTTTTTTTCATTTAGATGCTGGTTGTCCTCCCACTGTTGCTGTAAGGTCGAGCAATGGCAAATTCCTGGATTTGGACAGTTTCCCATATGTCAACTGCCAACTATTGTGTACACATACACTATAATTTTTTTTTTTTTTTTTTTTTTTTTTTTTTTTTTTTTTTGCTTGTCAGATTACATGTATTTTGGAAAGTGTCCCCCTTCACGTTTTGGACAGTTTAGGTTTTTTCTAAGCCCCACCCCCCTTCCCCCCGACTAGTCTTTTGAAACTGTTGCTAAGGGCCTGAAGTATTTGTACATGTATGTGTGGATAAATTAAACTTTATTATTTGTGTGAAAAGCTTGTAGTCCTTCCTGTCGGCACTCTTGACTCTATAAAAACTCCAATTTTTTTGGTAAACCATAAAGTACAAAATTTATATCTAATATAACATCTCTATATGTACATATATAATATTTAATTTCATGTAAAATATTCATTTAGAATTTAGTTTTAAGCCGCAATGTGTAACAAATGCATATAATTCATAAATATACCTAAGCATTTGCCTACATTGTAGATACCAGTGTATATCAAGTTTCTTATTTAAAACGTATTGCACGTGCGGAAATAGCGTTGAGAAAAAATGGGACAAACGTCTTTCCCCTGAAAATAATATTTTTTTATGATTCTCTTTATAGTAACCTATCTTATTAAGCCCTTGTAATTAATTAGTTGACAAGACAAAGTTGACACATTTATGACTAACAATCATTGCTGTCGCCGGACCGTTTGACACTTTTGATAGGTGGTCATTCGTAACTGGAGCCCTGTGTGCCGACAGTCCACACCAGACCACTTTCTTGCAAGTCTGTCTTCCACAATAATAGAAACAAAACAAATTAAGATGAACTGTACATGTAGTACCATTCACAACTTTTTTCCCCGTATGTCAACTGCCAACTATTGTGTACCCAAACACTCTAAAATTTGATAAATATCAATGGTAAATTGCTTTTTTCGTGTTAAAACGGAGAAATCATATCTTTTCTTTCTTCGATTCAGAAAAATGATGTTTATTTTTACTAAATCGAGGGGTAGTATTGATTCGTCCTTGGTTGGGAACTTGAGATGGGGTGTACACCACAAATGAATTGCCCAAAAGGTCATTCATGCATGTAGGTGCTTAATAAGGGGAGGAGAGAGAGAGAGAGAGAGAGTCTGTTATCCAGTATGTTCTCAAATGACTAATTAGTTTTTGTTCCACTTTTTAGGAGTTTTGTAAATAGTTTTTAAAGGTAGCCTACTTTACTGATTTAATGACATTCAAAGTCATTATTAACTTTTGTGTTACAAAAGTATGTATGTTTTTTAAAATAAATACACAAGAGTCTTTGTAGATAATCTAGTAGTCTTTTTTCTTTTCTTTTCACGGCTTTAGGATGAACATGATGAAACTGTATATACATTTGTATATAACTTAAACCATCCTCCTTAAATATAAGCACGGGAAAACAATCACAAAGAAACATAAAATGACAAAGGTATTTTACAGTGCAACAATAATTGAAAGTGACAGCTTAATTAGCGCCATCTGTGAAAACAAGAAAATCTGACCAGATTTGCGACTCCCCGCACAGAAGAGCGACCCTGACAGCAAAAGTCGATACAAACAATTAATCAAAAGCGATAAGTTTGTCATAATAGATGTAGCGAAGAGAAACACTCAAGACTTGGCTATTTATGTACAGATATTCCCTACTGAGAAACTATTTTAATTTGTGCTACAGAGATGTATGTGTTACTTCAGTACAAAATAACGAAAAAATAAATTAAAAAGTTCGTAATAAAGGAATGATGAGAAAATTAATAAAGCAATCTTAAAAAAAATATATTTAATTGTCTTTTTTCCCAATTCATTTTCCTGCATGCGTCTAGGATACCTAATCTGACCTTCACCTGTCCTTTGTCTATTTATAAGTAAGTAAGTAAGTAAATGGTTTATTGTCATATTCATGATAGCATTAACTTGTTTTTGTACAATCACAACATAATAGGAATTTAAACACCAGGTCCATCGGACCTACATATCAGTTTTAACAATATATCATTCAGTAAAAGAAAAATTAAACTGTTTGTAACTAAATGTTGAGTACAAGAATTTCGCGGTTTGCCAGCTAGAAAAATTTGCCTAGTTTGGTTCAGACCTGACATATTACAGTTGTATAAAATTCAATACTGGTGAAAATGTTTTAAGTTATGAAGTACAATGAACAAGAAAGTAACGCTCGTCTTCAGATAAAGCCCCCCCCCCCATTCTGCATATACAAGTGCATTATCTTACAGCAAAATAAATGAATGCATGATTCGTATATGTACTTGCATACAATTTACCTTGCGATTTCATTCACTAAATACATGATATGTTTTTGAATAAATTGCGGTTAATTTATTTTCATTTTAACGACTTCTATAATTATTATCTAATTAACTTAATTTATTTTTAATTGAATGGAATGTTGACATTGATTGATTTCATTTTAGATGAAGTCGTAAATATACGCGTCGTCTTATAAATACCACTCTACAAGTTTGAAGCTTTAATGTTGTTCGCTTGAAATTTAATTGCTAGATTTAATACTGGGATAACACGAGATGAAAGCTAATAAAACAAGATTATCACTTTCATTTTCTCTTGTTACAAGAAAATGAACATTTAAAACATCATCATCATCATCAAAAAAAAACAAAAAAAAAAACAACAAGACTCTAGTCATTAAATTGAAATTTCCAAACAATCTCTCTCTCTCTCTCTCTCTCTCTCTCTCTCTCTCTCGTTAATCTTTCTATATCTAAATCTATTGAGGCACAAACCCGTCCAAATTCCCAAACACTTTGAACAATAAGAAACGCTAATGTGACAGAATTTACAACCCAGAACAATCATTCGGCGATAATACGAAAGGCGGTCGGTCCCCAGGGTAAAATAACATGTCAAAATAAACTAGACCCTATTGATTTTAGACGCCTTGTACATCATAAGGAAAAGTGGGGCGGATCTCAAAATAAATTAACCCAGTACATAGTGTAGTTTTAAGGATTTTAGGGAAAAAAGCAAAACAAAACTCAACTGAAAGACACCTTTATCCTTCAAAAGTACAAGTGATTTTTACCACTGAAGTTTTTCCATGTAGCGTTTCATACATTACACAGCTGGCCAATGTAAGTCTTTAGAGGTCGAGTGTAACTTTTATTGCACAATAAATACAGATGGTAGTATAGTGCTTAAACTCTACGTGATACTCCGAACTAGGGACTTAATAGTAGGATGTACGATGTCCAGGGCAAGGCTGTATTGAATTAGTTTCATTCATTTAAATATCTTGAAATAAATAGCATTTTTTTTCTTCGATTTTTTTTTTAGAATATGAGTAAATAAATTAAAAATGTTATCTTTACATTTATTTACTTGTTGTAAATCAATCATAAACCCTGCCACTAGTTAATGTTTGTAAATCTTACGATAGTCATTTTTTTTTATATAAAGATTTCAGTACAATACAAGAGATTTCATTTCTCGACATGTGACATGTATTACATGTAACATGATTAAGGTAAAATTATATGTGAAATATTGGAGTCGGCTATTTAATTCCGATTTCACAAAATTTCGGTTTCAGATCTGGAACCAAGCCATGTATATATGCGATTTCGAAATATATATATTACAGTTTTAACAATACAAGTGTCGAGTATTACATATATTCACAATAGTTTCGCTATCATTGGCTGAGGTTTTGAATTACAAAGTCGTATTTCTTAATCTTTCATTAGGTGGTTAAAGAAAATGTCACTGAACATATGTCAAGAAAATTAAAATGGAAATGAAAGATTTAGGTTAACAATCGCGGAAGATTTGCAAACAAATTGTATAGTTAATCATAATAATCAAAAACACGTAAAAATGTCATAATAATGTACATGCTAAGTACATGTCGCTTCAAGTACATTCCACGAATACATAATTTGTTTATCTTCATTTATCAAACTACGGAGTCCAGAGGATTTTTTTAAGAGGTTATTACAGCACTTACAGTACCGTCAAGGGTACATAAATCCCTCCCCCCCCCCCCAAAAAAAAGGGGGAGGTGTCCATAATTCAAAAACAATTCTGCCTTGAAATTTACGATAAAAAACCAAAAAGTTAGATAGATAAGCAAGTTAATCAAAACAGAAATTTATTTTTATATTAGCAAATAAGATGATAATAAATAAAGTAATTATAAATTATAAATCTTACGAAAGCGGGGGGAAGGGGGGGGATTCTGATCATTAACACTAATTTACGATTACATTTCAATATGACATGTATTTAGAAAATCATCAACGAAAAATGGAGTGCTCCCACCCCTCCCTCAAAACCCGTCATATAAAAAAACATCAACACTGCTTGGTCGAGAGAAAAAAAAAAGACAAACATTGAAACGTAACCTACTCTGCTAGGAAGACCTAGGGTGGAGTCAGAACCCACGGAGATTGTATTAAGATGATCCCCACCCCAAACCACCCTTCTCCCAAAGAAGAACAGGAAAGAATAGAAGACTTATTATAAGACTTAAAATTATTTTTAAAAATGCAATATAAGAAACAAGTAGGAAGATCTTTCTTAGCCTCGAAACTTTCCATCTTTTCTTTGGCATGTGATTTTTTTTATAACCACCCATTTTCTTATCTCAAATGATAAATCTTGAATCCGCCAAAGAACTCTAAAACAAGGTATTGACTTTTTTCCGAAAGAATTATATCGGAATAAATTTTGTGTACTTTAGCGACAATAACAAATGTACGGAGAGGAGGGGTGAGGTACAAATATAGTTGTCTAGAATTATTTATATAAAAATTCTTACCCCTCTTAGTCGATTGATTTCACTAATTAACTGTCTGATTGTCTTTGACCTTGTGACGTCAGATGATGTCGTAACATTTCCCACCAAAAGCAAACAGACAAGCAATCCGAGATGTCTTGGGCAACAGAATTTCCTTGAACACATAATGGTAAAGCACAAATTCTCAAAGCAAAAAATCTGAATTAATCAAACACCATGGTGAAAGTAGCAATCTCTGTGTTGATTTTGTACAGCGATTTTCCGACTGGAAGTAGTTAAAGAGAAAGTTTATCCCATGATATAAACCACTGGGGGCACTTTAGAAGATTTGGGGAAACGCCACGACAAGACGGCAAATTTCCCACAGAGAAAAATCAATAAAATGTATTCCTCGTTACATGTACAAGAGCACCGTACGTCTGTTAATGACCAGTAGTAATTGTATGAGAAGTTCCACTCCCTTTGTTAATCTCTTTGTATGTCATTAGACTGTGACCTCTAATTGGGTCAAAAAGCAGTTGTTTTCTTCTCCAAGAAATTAGCGTCTTAAATCATCCGATCTTTTGCTTCGAATGGTATTGCGTGGATAAGTACGTAGTCAGAAATGATCCTAAAATATTTGGAACCAGTTAGGAAACACTTCAGTCAAATGGCATCAGTGTTTTTTTTTTTCTCCTCTCTTTCTCTTCTCTTCTTCAGAGTTCTTGAGAAACCCGTGTACGACTTAGCATCTTCTGCAACGATATACATTTATTATACTGAACATCTAGCACTTTTATATTAGGAGCAACAAACATTTGACATTTAAAAAAATACATAAAAACCTAACGTGAAGGTATTTCAGTGTACAAAACAATTCTTTATTTTCTAAAACCTCTTGAAATGATCATTTGATCTGTGGTAGATATATAAACATTTTGTTCACCTTGAAATTACATAGTGACGCTTGAAATGAGGCGAAAAATTCTGCTTGCAGTCGCCACTCGTCTAATTACGATGCATTGTACATGATGTCTTCGCAATAAATTGTCTGATAGGTGTCATTTTTTAAATTTGGTCTCTTTTATGGAAATCAAAGCCATTTTAAATTGAGTTTGTACCGAAAATGAGTGCGATGACTCGTTGATGAAATTTATGCTCGATAATATTTGTGTAATGTTCCAACGCACTGGTTTTGAAGAGGCTGTAAAATTATTATTTATGGGTTTGATGTGTTAGGTATATCAGCATGATCAGTGAAAAGAATTTCATGCACCCCGATCTTTTTTTTTTCATAGCTGTATTTCTTTTATTTACGGGTTTCAAATAGATCAAATAACAAATGATTTCTCTGATGAAGAAGAGCAGATGAGTATTAGCACTCTGAGCTAAACATATTTACTGTATAATATTTGGAAGGTAATAATTTGTTTCATGTTGTAAATTTTAAATTTTGAATTTACCGAGTGGCAGTGAATACAAAGTTTACAACATATTGAAAATTCAAAATTTACAACATGATCATTTCATTGTTTGTTTCGTTTGGATCTGAGTTTGTGTGTTTAAAATTATTTATTTTCAATTTATTTTTATTCTTTTGTTAACAAAAAATAACTGCATTGCTGTATGATATGCTTTTTCTGCAAATTTGTTGTAATGCATGTAATTTTGTCCATAAATTAGTAGAAATAAATTTTATCTATGATAATGTTTAGTCGTACACAACCAATTTAACGCGCAGGAAACGTAAAGTCGTCTACCAAACTAGAATTTAAAAGAATGCTAGCGCTATCTTGTTCTAAAGTTATAATAATAGTTATTGTTAAACACAACACTTGCAATGTAAGTTGCACGAAAAATCTCAAAGGAGACACCAATTTAACTATAGAATCTTCTTCATTTTTTGTCCTATTATTATTGTATGTCAATATCAATGCACGCATGTCGTAGTATTTAATCATTCCAAAGAAACTTCAATATATACACGAGAGTCATTTGCTTTTAAAACTGACATTTTTAATAGCAGATCATAACCTATTTATCCTTATTTCAATTAAGGAATCTACTCCGTAGGTTGGAGTAATTTAGAGGGATTTGAATTTCATGTAATTGATTATTTAATGTATGTGCCATTCTATGTTGTAAATCAAAATCAAATTGGTTTTCTCAATTTTGATATACATCTATATATGCATATAATTTTCCATACAGAATGCCTGTCAATTACTACATGTACTTGCAATTAAGCACCGAGATCGGTTGGATATCAGAGAGATAAAAGTACATGGGGAAGAAAGAACCAGGTGTAAAATTTATATTCAAGTTTAAGTCACGCGCAACACAAAATTACCTTCTATTACAAAAGAATGTATTCAAGGGGAGGTAATAGGGGTCAATCTTTACGCAATCTTATGACGCCAGGTGAAAATTTCGAGGTTTATTTAAAGCTCTATAAAAATATTGATTTAAGATTTCTTCTTGTTGACGGCTGTTGTGTGTAGAAATGCCAGGCATTTGCTGCAGATATTTAGTTGAAGTGTAACAAACGCCCAGAAGAAAGACCCCAATGCTATAGAAGCGGAATTTTTGTCGGTAATAGTGACAATGCGCTTTCATCTGATTGTGCTCAAATGGAAATTTAAGCAAATTCAGAATGCCATACTTGGCAAAAAATTATTAAAAATATATGAAAGGATACATGGTTTGTTATTTATCTTCTCCTAACAAAGTTCATTCATGAATGTTTTATTATAAGAATTATAATTAGTAAACATTGTTCAATTTTAAATATATATTGAAGAACATTATAAAAATAAAGCCGCATGATCTACTGTTACTTGTTGTAGATGTGCATGGACGTGATTCTTATTATAAGCAAAGATTTCTTTTATTAGTAACTTTCATAAACACATCATCAATTTTCTTTTCATTTGTAAACAGTGGATGAAAATTTACGTACACATTGTAATGTTTGCACGAAAACAACGTCTGCACCTAGTAGCAATTATTTGATCCCAGCATTCGTCTATTAGAAAAGTATGCGACCAGATGCCAAAACATGTGTTCGACGGCCTCGGTGTATTTGTTGTAAAGAGAAACATACAAATGAAGCTTACAGTACGAATGTATTTGTCAAAGACGAAGTATTTATCATTATATGTAAGTGTTTGTAAATAAAGTGGTGATTTTCTTAAATATTTTGTTCAAATAATTCGAAAGCGGAATTCGATAATAAACGTACTGTATATTTGCTCACGACTTGTAATATATTAAAGAGTTATTGAATTGAAAGATATTACATGTATCTTCTTATGTATACAAAGACGAAATGATATTTAAAATTTCCACAAACATACACACACGCACACAGATACAGAGAGAGAGAGAGAGAGAGAGAGAGAGAATTTCAGCTGCGTAATGATTTAAATCGATAAATTTGACAAAATGACAGCATTGAATTTACTGCTACATAGATGGACATTGTGATATGTTTACAGTTGATAAAAGCTACATGTCACAACAGTGATTTCTATCGGACTTCATCGACTCTCAAGATTAAATGCCAGGGTATATAGCGGATCCGGCCCTCCAACTTTAAAAGTCCGTACTGAAATTTTATATCCATCTGTTTGGTCCATTACAATAGTATATCCCTACCATATCTTTATTTAATCCCAAGATGCAAATTAATATGGGGCAAGATCCCCGATCTTAATATTAGTAAATAATAAAGTTTCAGCTAGTATCTCATAAATATATATGGTAAGTTTACATTTTTAAAAAGAAATGAGATTCTGAATTTATTCTTTAAAACACTCTTAATTTTTATTTTTAAATTGATTATGGTCTTACCCGCTTCTCTAGCAATAAATCCATGCTTTTTGTAAAAATCACAAACTTGTCCTTTGAAGCAATAACTTATTGTACACAGCAGTTAAAATCTCAATATTTCCAAGACAAAAAGATATGAACTGAGAGTAGAAAAAAAATCAACCCATGAAATATTTAGCCTTTTGAAAAACTTGTAAAGAGATATTCACAAAAGCTCATATCTGTTTACAAACATAAGTATACTGAGGGAATCCAATAATACGGGGTTCTACATAGCAATGTTTGTATAGGAGATTTAATACAGGTAAAAGAACGGCTGCTCGCGATTGTTACCGCTTCTCCGTGTTTTCTTTATTAAGCCGGAGAGTCTTGAGAAGAAAAAAAAGGAGGGCCAGTTTTTTGGCTGTGAGATTTTTTTCATTACCTAAGGGGATTCCCTCTTCTCTCTTTTCTCTCTCTCCTTCTCTTTCTCTCACTCTTACATACAAAAATGTTTATACATGTAATATTTTTACATATTTCCTTTTGTCCTTTAAAAAAAAAAATTCTTATGTCAAAATTTTTGTAAGTGTCACCTTCCAGAATAAAAAAAGTTATTTCGGATAATTAATCAAATGCGCGTCTACCCTCCCTTCTCCCTCTCTCTCTGCATCGTTACATGTATTTTATCTAACACAGATGCATGGTTGGTTGCGCTTTTCATAGACTGTTCTGTTAAATGTGTGAAGTTAGTCATCAGTAATGACATCTTCATGTTGAAGTCAACAAGGTCATTCAAATAAAAATAATTTTGACGGGATCTGGTTGATTAAAGATAATGTTACAGAGATCAATATACAACTAGAGTTAAAAAAAGAAAAAGCTATTATTTTAACCATATCTGCTGAGAACTTCTCGATTTTCTGTTCGACTCGACTTGCTTATTAATTTGTAATTTATAACTTTTTGTTACAAGGCCTTGGGCTCACATGCTTTGAATAACATAGAACAAAGGAAATGGTACATAATCTACAAATATTGGAACATGTATGACCTTAACCAATCTTTGTACTTTTATGTTCAAATGATTCCAATATCAGTGCACAAAATTTCAAGGCTATACTAAGGTCATATTCTTAATAAAAAAAAAAAGAATTTCATTTTCGGTAACAGGACTAAAAGCAATAATTACAACATATTTTATTTTGCATAAATGAGGACAAAGGTAGAGCTTAATTGTCAATATTCTAAGATATAACAAGGACAATTGGAGTTACCCTCCTTATAAACATCGTACATTTTCTCACCCACATCGATTTTGATGTCATGAAACAAAATGCAAAAAGTTCTCTCTCCAAACACAGAGAGAAAAAAGACAAAATATTACGCCCACATCTGAATCATGTCTATAGTTATTGCGGACATCAGTAGCCCGTGACGAATCAAAAGTGGAATTTAAATAGATAAATATTTTGAAATGACTAATAAATGCATTCTCCTCAATTTGGTATTAACGTAAATATTGGAAATGAATAAATAATCAAGCACTCCTTCCCGTGAATGCAAAATTCATAGAATGCGAACAAATCCCTTCCTCCGAATCATAAATATTTTACAAGTTTCAAGAAATTATATTATTTATTCCTTTCCAAATAGCTGACATCTATATCAATGAAGTTATAAAATCTAAAATATATTGACTTCAATTTCAAACTTATTTAATTATTCTAAATTTAAAGTATATGAAAGCGGGTATACAGCAGTTGCACAATACTCACGAAAAAAATCCTCGTGTGTGCACTGCAAAAATGTATATCTTGTAGACACTTGTTGAAGATGATGTTAAAACACACGATTGCCCCTTCTAACCTACAGCATGAATCTGAACACAAAAATTGTCCCTTTCCTAAAGATATCATTTATTTTTTATCAAATTAAATCAGGATTAAATTGCAATTTAAACACGGCATCGTGTCTACCCAAAGAAATAAAGTTTTAAATGTGACAGCCCTGTGCTCCAGCTAATGATAACACTTCCTTTTTAAAAACCACCTGGTGTTGTTTAGATATTCTTATTTTGTATTGGTTGAGTGAAATGTAACTAAAAACGGGGAACGCTCTCGTGTGCCATATGTCACTGTGCAAGTATAATGTATTCAATGCATGATTTTTATATTTTGATTAAAGGAATAATTTTTTTTTCAAACACGTGTTTTATTCTTAACCATAAAATTTTAGTTCAAGTCCACGAACTTTTTAAAACCAATTTGAAATAGAACTTCGCTCATTTTAATGGTTGATATCCCCCCTATTTTGGAGGGGGTATTTTTTGATTACTTATTCTTATCGGGGTTAGTCCATCTAGACTAAGATCATTACAATAATATAAGTCAATTAATTCAGGACTTATCTACATGAAAATAAATTACACGTTGAGAAGTTTTCCCAAAAATATAATTGTTCCAACTTAAATTAAATCAAAATCGGAAACGAACTATGCTATATGTGTCCAAAAATGTAACACACATAAAGCGCGCGCCCTCGATAACATTTCAAGAGCCTGCAGTGGTGGATCAAAAGGGGGGTGTACCCCCTAGAATTGTTAAATTTTAAAAGATAAATTGCACCTTGGAAAAAAATGAAAAGCTTTTTTCTGTATTCTTGCAAGGCATGTCTTCTGGAGCTTTATTCCCAAGCTTTGTTTCCATAGACCTTAAATATGAGTAGTTTTATCATTCTTAACATTATTTTCGCCGACAAGAAATAGTAAAATTGTCTACTTAGAAGACCTCCAAATCTCTGGAACCAAGGGGCTTCCAAGTGGAGAGGTGGAGAGGGCGTCGTCCCCTGGACCCCAACCAGGGTTTTGTCCGGGACCCACTTGGATCCTCAAGGTTGCCCCCAGACCCCCTGCCTGATCAGCTGGCACCCCCAACTCCAAATTCTGGATCCGCCCCTAAGCTTGATATTGAAAAGGCAAAATAATTAACTAAAACTGAGAGACGCGACATTGAAAAAGTTCAGAACAATGAAATGACCTCTGACCCTGTGTTTCGGAAATGCAAGAACAAGGCGCAGGGCAGTTGACAATTCTGATTTCGAAAATAACATGTCTTGTCTGTCCCCTTTTAGAAGAAAACTGCTTGTCAATTTGATGTTTTTACAGAAAGGAAGAATGCTTTTATCGACCATAAATGACTCGCAGATGGAATTTGGACAATTACAAACCCATAAACCGAGTTTATTTACAAATGTTTCTCAAGATCTGAGTCACCTCACTTCTGAATGATAATAGCCAGTTTATTTACTGAAATTGCCATTTAATTCTAAGTCCTGAGTCATATTCGTGACAGAATACGAGAAATAAGCTTTCTTAAACATAGCTTAAGTCATAAAAACCAAAGATATTTTATTTGTTAGTAAATAAAGGTATTTTTATCAAAGAATGTACGGGGATGCAAGAGTTCAACCCCCCCCCCTCCCCATTCGCCAATGAATATCATCACTGACTATGGTCAACAGAATCTAATCTTTTACCAGTTTAAAACAAGATTTATCAACGAAACTTTTCAACTGTCATATGTCAAAGAAACATTGCACCTTTCGTGTCTGACCAGAATATCACACCTGTAAATCATATTTTTAATTTGTCAGGAAAAATGTCGTAATAGTTCAGACGAACTATTTAACTATTCTAGGGACATGCTATTTTTAACCACAGATGAAGGACATGTATGTGCAATGCACTTCATTTTTTCTGAAAATCGTATCCTTGAATGCAGATTTTACAATTCTTTCTCTCTTGCACTCGCTTCTAGATTAAAATTTTAGAGAAAGTTCTTGTATGGAGATATTGTTTTTCAAATTATCTAGCTGACTGCAAATGTTTATGTTTCAGGATATTATTTTATAATAAAATATATAGTTCTTTAAAGATTTTTATGCTTTTCAATATTTTTTTCTGCCTGCTATAGTTAAAGTTTTCGGAGATTTGATTTTATATAGTTATTGCTGTTTTTGAGATTTTACGATGATTGGCCAACTAAGGAGTACAATATTTACCGAGTCCGAAGGGCGAGGTGAATGTAGTACTTCGAGAATGGTTAAGGAACCCCCCCCCCCCGAAATAATTGTTTTATTATATGATTCAATCATTAAATTATACGAACTCATTCAGCAAACAATGCAATCTTTCTTAAATGTTTACATTTGTTGAAATCCTAGCCAAACGCAGTGAGAGAAGCAAGTTTAAAATATTTGGTGCGATGTAGAAAAATCAATTGACACGTAGCTTTGATTTTAAAAGTGTTGGTTGGAGAGGGAAAAATTGACAACTTACCTTAAAAAAAGATGACAAACATATAAAAAAAACCCTGAGAATTCTACTAACTCCATAATCTTATTTTGGAGGGGAAGGGGTGGATGGGTTAGAGTCCATTAACATAGGAGGGATTTGACTATATTAATTGTCTCAAATAAGAGAAAAGGGGGGCAGCCAACCTTTCAATGAACATTTCCGTACTTAATTAACAGTAAAAATTTACATTCAGAAAAAAGTGCCCATGCCCTCACCCCTATCCCGATATTACGTGCCTGAATATTGTGTTCAGCTGAGTGGAAGTCAGGTTCAGCTAAAATAATCTTTCGCAACTAATTGTTTGAATTTGGAAGTCCTCATTTATTTTTAGTCCAATGTAGAAAAAAAAATACTTATGTTCACCTGGAAGGTCATGTGCAGGTGAATATAACGTAATACATGTACTTTTTCAACAATGTTTGATCTAAGCCAATAAGAGAGTTAGAAATTATTCAATCATATAATAAATTCGAATGTTCCGACTAATTCAATCTTGACACTGCAACTATGTAGATATTAATTATTATGAGCACATTTGTACAAGAAAGATATATATTTGTTTCTAATTATTCACTTTTTTATCTAGAATTTACAATAAATGCGAGAGAGAGAGAGAGAGGGGGGGGTGTTGTTTAATGATTGCTGTAATTTATGGTGCAAAATACGCGTAACTTATACCTACATGTCGTATGTACGTTTTAAATGGAATCACCATGTATTTATTGATTTTAGATGTCAACAGATTCAGAGAATCTCTACATGCATCAACAGGTACGAGTCACAAATTCATTTAATACTGTAAAATGTTATTAGATACTTTCGAGAGGAACCGATATTATTGATAAGTTTAAAACATTTATAATCCTCAACATAAAATCGATGATTTTGGTATCATTTTGTATACGAAGTTCGGATTCCTAACAAGTAAAATTAATACCTTATTTCCTGTTTTACTAAAGTACATGTAAATTTTTTTTGCTTATTTCCAACTACAGAGAGAAGGGGGGAGGTTAACACAAAGTAGCTACGGTTGGAGATATTTTTTTTTCCGGGATTCCTTTTCACAAAACACGGTTCATATTGCAGCTTTTTCTTGATCACTATGTTTATATTTGTTTTACACTGAATTTTCTACCCGATCACACAATTTTGAATTTTTTCACCTTTAACTCTTTTTATTATTGGAAAATCGAAATATTGCAATTTTAATTATCATTTTCATATAAAACAAAATAAAACTAATTCTTACCTCTGTATAAGACGACGCTTCGCCCTTTTCCACCTCAGTGACAGGTTTTTTTCCTTACAACTTGAAGTCACCTATTTAACAAAAGGTCAAACGATCACCAACTTATTCTAGTCAGTCACGATTGTATATGTTTTCATTCATAAAAATCAATATTCAAAGGAAGTAAGCACGAAGGAAAGTCACTTTAATAAATGTGGATTAAATTATGAGATAATGTTGTACGGTTTTAAAATATATGAACCGGATTAAAGTCCGGTGTCGCTGTAGCAATTAGTCAACCTCCTTCTCGTTCCGGTCTGCTGGTCCTATGCAATAAGTGGATACAAAGGCAATACATTTGTTAAAACTTATCGAAGATGTTATCTGACAGGAAATTAAAAGGAATTTCGCTGAAAATTCAAATGCGGTGAAAATTTCCTCGGTTAGATGAAGGATTTAATTTGTTGCCCCCAGGGTTAAAGAAAACTATTGCCAGTTAGCGGCATAATCCAGCGAAAAATCGCCGGCGTATTGAGCAGGGTGTCAAGTTTTTGTTATTTTCCCGTTCCGCTCCATGTGTTACGATTTAAACAGCTTTTGTCACAGTAAATTTTAAATAAACTTGCCATCCTGAAGTGAAAACATCCGTGTTTATCGATAGAAATACATCACTGATTTGGATATACGACAACTGCTTTAGACCACCTGCAAAACTGGCTAAGGAAAATACAAGACTTAAAACACTAGAACTGAGTGGTAATTAGTTAAAAGCGACACCTTATACCTCATTAATCACGAATTTTTTTTAATTTTCTACAAGAAATTTTTTTGCATGTTTGTATTCTGTTGAGGAAATGTACTCTATATGTGTAAAACTGATTTATGAATTTTGTCAATGTTTGAAATATTTCACAAGTTTTTAAAGAAAGGTAAACATCATGCCTAATTACATCCTCAATTAATAAATTTGTATATAACAATGTTAGTGGATGAAGACGTTGACAAGTACATAACTCCATAAATTACGATCATAATTATCTTAGCTTTACATCGTTTCTTGTGCCTCTTAAAAATACAGCAGCTATGTCACTCCTTATCTACAAGTACATTTGTATATGATTAATAAGTAGGTAATAAATAGGATGATTACAGTGATATTTAATTGCTATTCTCATAACTTTTATTTACAACATTTATGTCATTTAAAGAGCGTTGACTTTCGTAATTGAAGTAGTGCGTCTTGA